AATGCTGTGTATACTAACCCTATGCTTATATAACTGCCTCTAAGTGCTATAGTAAAGAATAAATTAACGCCCTAATTTTCTCCTATAGGATAGCCTCCTACGCCTTAGTGATTTACTCTTTAAATAACATTATATCTAATTAGTCTTTCTTAAGATAGAATATATTAAGGTATAGTCTTTTTCGGTTAGACTTTATTATCTACTAATAATACTTAATAAGGTTAAGGTCTAGTGAGTAAGAGGGCTATTCTATCTAGGAGACTGCCTTATCTAAGAGCCACTAGGTTATGCTTACTAATATTTAAATAGGGGCATTATCCTAACTAAAATGCCTTATATTATTATAGATAGGTAGATATCCTTTTTTGAGGTGTTAGATATAGCTGTTAGCACTATATGTATTTTTCCCTAAGGTGTTATCCCTCTCTAAGAAGACTAGCGTACTTTAACTACCCTTCTATATAATTACCCACACTATTATTATAATATTAGCCTTAATATAACTTATAAGGTTAATAAACTACTTTTTCTATTATTCTTAAGGTAATCTAAATACCTAGGCACTTAGACTATTTATATTATTCTAATATAAAGACTTATTTAAAAACTAACACTTTACCAAAAAATAATCTTTAAGACTTTAATAAACACTAAGTTCACTAGTAAAGATACTATTATAAATATATATATATAGTAAGTAGATAATTATAGTAAGCAGACTATATCTTTCTACCTTTTAATTATTTCTTTAGGTTTATTTAACTAAATTATATAAAATTAATTAAAAGTATATATTACTTTATTCTTTATTATTATCCTAAACTACCTTATAGATTTATATGTTATATCTAGTCTTTCTATAATTACTATATAGTTATATATATAGCTTACTGTCCTCTATAGAGGCCTCTTTTTAAGACGTTTTCTTACCTCTAGCCTTAACACCCTTTTTTACTCCTTATAGCGCTTTTACTTTAGTTATAGTAAGTAACCTTCTAAGATATAGTTAGGTCTTTTTAGCTCTCTACTACTTACTTAGTATATTTATCTTTATATAAAGTCTAAGGTTTTTAGCCTTAATAAAAGTAAGCCTATATACTAACTTACTAATACCTTTAGCTTAAAAGTTAATTACCTTATATATTAGTGTTAGTAAGCTTTCTTAATATCTTTAGACCTTTTTTTTTAGTAAACTAGCACTTTATATACCCTCTAGTGCTATAGTTAGTGTCTTTAGGTCCTATAAGCCTAAGCTAGTTAGACGTAAGCTAAGAGGTGTTAGTGTGTTTAGCTTAAAATCTAGGTAAGAAATAACTACTTTAGAGTTAAAAGATATAAAGCTAGCTTATTTAAAGCTAGCTTATATATTTCTTTTTTTTATTAAAGTAAAAAATACTACTTTAAATGTAGGGAAAGAATTATTCTTTATATTATATAAAATCTATATTTATATTATTCTTTTAATTTCTTTACTATATAAGAGCTTTAGTAAGCTATAATAACCTATATTAAGAGTCTAAAGCTTATATAGTAAATAAGAAGGTATATATAAAGTAATAATCTCTTCTTTCTTATAGTACTTATTAAACTTAGTTTATTTATAGCTATTATAGCTATCTAGGATTAAATAGTGATAAGTACTTTTTATATAGGACTTTATATACTAATTAAAGTACTTTAGTTAATTTAGGCTAATTTTATTTATAGTCTATTTATTTCTACTTAGGTAGATATACTATATAGCTAGGGTTTAGCTATTTTAGTACTAAAAGAAAAGGTAATATTTACTTTTTATAATAACGTATAAAGGTATTATCTAGCTATTTATATATATACCTTAAGTAATAAAAACCTATTCTTAATTACTAGGCTACTTTATATAAAGCCTTCTCTTCTAATTAAAGGTTATATTAACCTCTATATATAATAGTATTCTTATTAAAAACATAGTCTTATTAAAATTATAGATATTATAATTCTACTTCTTATACTTTATAATTATATTTTATATAAGTATAAACTAGCGTTATATAATTATAAATTCCTTAGCTAAGGCTTTTTAATAGTTAATTTAATATTAAAACTATATTTTTAAGTAAGGTAATTATTTTATAAAGTTCTCTACCTAAGTAGGTCTAATATATATTATATTATATATATTTAGAATTTAGTTAGCTATATTTTATATATTATCTTATTATAAAGAAACCTCTTAATTAATTAGGTTAATAAGCTTTTTAAGAATTACCTCCTTTTTAACTTCTGTTATTTTCTTTAAGTTTAGACATATGTTAACTTATATAACACGTCCTATACGTTAGTAATATACTGTTATATAAGGGACGTTAAAGATAGTAGCTGCTCTTTATATAGATATTTTTAGGTCTTTTTAAATAGCTTAAACAGGAAATATAATACGGCTTTTAATTAAGGCGGATTACATGTTTATATATAAAGAAACATTAATATAAAGGTTAAAGAGGTAAAAAGGAGGAAAAGTAGTTTGCTTGCTATAATTATCTGCTTACTATATATATATGTTAATTTTTTAATATTCCCTAGCTATATATATATAAGTTAAAGTTATTAAGTAGCTGCTTTCTTTATAATAAAAGGTCTATATATTATTCTCTATTTATAATAGTTAGCACCTTATAGGACGTAATTAAGGGTCTATATACTAATAGTATTACTATACTTATAGAGGAGCTATTAGTAGGTAACCTAGTAGTTAATCTTTACTAATCTAACTATAGCTTGTTTCTAGGTATATAATAGTTTCTTTAGCCTTCCTTTTTAAGGTTTAACCTTAATAGCTTGCCTTTTTTTCTATTATTGAAGTATAATAGTAACTAGGTTAATTAAGCAGTTTAATAGTGCAGCTGCGTTATAATAGCTCCTACTGCCTAGCGTAAGAGTAATAATTACTATATGTTAGTCTCTAGTATGCTTATAATAAAACCTATAACTTTCTAATATCTAAGAACAAAAGACTTATAAATTAAGTATAATTTACTAAAGTTATAGGAAAAATAAAAACAGGAGGTAAATATTAGAGAACGTATTATAACACGTTATTTATTAAGGCCTACTATAATTTCTAGCACCTTACTATAGTTATAGCTAAGAAATTAAAGACGCTTTTACTATACACTTTACTAATAATCTACTACTAACCTTATAAGTAAGAAATAAATATATAATATTAATATAGTAATAATTAGTTTACTGTAATATAATAATATAGTATAAGCGTTTTAGCTACCTAAGTATAAAGACTTTATAAAGAAATATAAATACTATATATAAAATATATTTAACTTAACTTAATGCTATAATAGTATAAGACTATAATTTCTATTCCCTTAAAAGAATAAAGTAATAGATTTATTACTAGCTATAGAAATCTATTATAAATATAGCGCTAGGTAATTACCTAGCGCTAGATTCTTATAACCTTAAACAAGGCTATATAAAATACTACTTACTAATAATAAGCTTAAATCAAGTAATAGGCCTTATATAGAATTTCTACCTATATAGTTATTACTAAGATACTATTAATTTAATAATAAAGGGCTTCTTAGTAATACTAAAGAATAAGTACTTAATTATAAGGATAAATTAGTACGCACTATAAATTAATATATACGCTCTAACCTTACGTACGCTTTAGTATCTACCTTTTTTATTAGTTTAAAAATTTATTATTAGTATAACTAAATTCTACTAGACCTATAGAAGGTACTTTATTATTTTTACCTATCCCTAGTAGTAAGACAATCTTACCTTTATTTAATTTATACTTATCCTTATTTACTATAGTATTACTAGTAAAAGCTAGAGGTCTTTTATAGCACTATACTTAGCCTATTCTATAGCGCCTAACTTAACTAACCTATCCTTTTAGTATAAGTTAGATCTTCTAAAAGTAATAATAACCTAATTATAACCTAAAACTATTATCTAGTAACGTTTTATTATCTCTTATATTAATAAGTAGGTGTCCTAGTATAAGCTAATTCTATAAAGCTAAAGACCTTTAGGGGTAACATAACCTTATTACTAAGCTCCTAGTTAACACTTTATCTAATATATAACCTTTTTTATACTATAAACTATATTACCTTAGTATAAAGCTAATACTTTACCTTTAATACTATTTCTTTAAGGGAATAAAAAAGATCTAGTAGACTCTCCTCTTATATCTTTTATTAGAGCCTAGCCTCTCCTCTCTTAATAAATAGTCCTAGCTACCTCTTTATCCTACTAAATAGTAGTTTAATGCTACCCTTAGCCGTACTAAATAAGCTTTTAGAAGTACTTAGTAGGCTTTTAGGACTACTTAAGAGGCTATTAAGCCTAATTAATAGCTGATAAAAGCCCTCCTCTCCTAAGGAGACTTCGTTTTAATAGCTTAAATAG